CTACTGATGCAACTGAAAATTATTTCATATTTTTGAAAATGAAACTTGGGTTTAGGCACAGAATGAAATTTGTTTAAGCAAAGATTAAAAAGAGCACATCACCACATATACTTTGATCTTCCTTTGGTCCAAAGTAACTCATTTCTAAAATAGTATTCTACAGTGCCAGTGGTTTCTTAATTATAAAAGATGGTGTGCTTTGGCCCCAAGGATCTCACAACAATAGTATCATTAAATCTTCCACAGACTTTTTTTTTTTTAATCATAAAATCTTAGCACAAAAGCCCTCAGCAAAATTTCTGCTTTAAATATTTATCAAGAGGTGAGAAACAGATGGCTAGACTGGTTCTACAGACTGAAACTCTTCTGACACAGTATTCAAACTCTTTCTGGCAACTACTATTAAGGGGTTCACAGAGGTTCGAAAGACACAACATACATCAAAACTTGAAGAACACCCTTCCTGATCTTTTTTAAACAGACAGCACAAACTCTTTCATCAATTTCCAAGGAAGCTACTTCAGAGTGCTAATCACATGGACTTTTACTTGTCTCCACTCATTAAGCCAAGAACTTCATTATCGACCATCCTCCAGTATCCAGACCTCAGTGAGCCTTTAGCATCAAAGCAAAAGCACTACATATTTGATTTAACTGCACAAAACCCCAAGATGACAATAACCAAACACATTCTGTTAAATATTCTATGCTAATGTTATTTGTACACTCCACACCCCTCACAGAAAGAACTCCAGATGTACAGAAATGTGCATGTTGAACAGATGTTCACACTAATTCTTTAGCATATCATAATCCATCATTTTTCTTTCTAAATATTTACAGTTACTTAAAAAAAAAAAAAAGCAACCCAGTTTTAATTCCATTCATTTATTCTTGCCTCAGATATTGCTGCATAGTTTGACATAAATCAGATGGGGCACCTTATAAAGCAAATAAGCAAGTCTGCCCAGGACTCCAATGAGTAAACTCTTACTGCTCATGAGGTGAACACAAGCATGCTGCACTTGAAAAAAAAGTGTTAAAAAAGGCAAAACTCTGAAGAGTGTATCTAAATAAAAAATTTTCCTATTACCAACGAAGTGCAGCCACGCAACTTTGTGATTATATGCCCCCTTTCACCAGATTTCCTTTACAAATATTGCCTAGGAAAAAGCTAAACATTACAGGCAAGATTTAGCACTCAACATCAACTTCTCAGAAAATACAATTTCAACTGCATTACAGAAGACAGTTCTCACTACTCTGTTCTATCCACTATGAGAATATCACCATGCAAGGCAGTTCACTGAAGTATCTTAGGTTTTGGTGGATGTACCATAAGGAAAATGCTGCAGAGCAAGCACAAAGATAAATGCACTGATGAGCATAAAACTGATAGTGGAATAATACTTCCAAAATTGATCAACATTTTTTGTTGTGATAAAAAAGCATAAAAGGGGAACACATTTCACACAGCACAGAAAACACTGTAGAAGAAAACATATCTAATGTGACAGAATGTCTCAAATGAATCAACGGTTATTTTACTATTACTAATTCACATTGTTTCATACACTGTTACCAAAGGAAATACAACAGGGAGCACGCTGTTTAGCCAGGATATACTGGAAAGCACAAAGTGCTTTCATCTCCTTCAGCCTACTCAAGACATACATGTTTTGGCCAATGCACACCCACTTCAGAGAATAATGGTGTACTTACAGAAATAGTTGCTTGAAAAAACAAAAACCACATCTTCCACAGAAATAGCAGCTCCAGAATTTGAAGAAGTAGCAAGTATTGGGCCATCAAAGAAAATCTTTCCCTCCTCATGCCCCTGATCACAGAATCAAACAAGCTGGAAAAGACCTTCAAGATCATCAAGTCCAACCATTACCCCAGCAATGCCAAGACCATCACACTAAACCATATCACTAAGGGCATCATCTTCAGTTTTTGAACACCACTTAATTAGCATACGCATCATCACAATACCAGAACAGACACATTAATTAAGTACCACATAAGTACCAGACAAGAGATGCTTTCCCAGTTCCCTGATTTTTCTCTGCCTCCTTATTTGTCTCTAAATTCATCCACACATACTTTCTACTTATCAGAAACAGCACAATGCATAAGACTTGAGGAGAAAAAAAGAAGTCAGAACTGCCAATCAGCATGAAATACCAATAATCAGCATGAAGAGATAAAATATGACCAGGCAGGGTTAACCCCCAATACAAAATCATCAAATTTGTCTCAGTCAATCAGCAAAACCTACACACATATTTACAAGTATTCTGAAAAACTTATCACACCAATCTTAGTCCTGAAAAATTCCACTTCGCGACCACAGCTACAAACACTAATGAGGGAGAGCTTTAGGCTCAAGAAGGTCTCCAGAAGACCTGTGCAGAACAGGTCTCTGCAGCTGGAGACTCTTAACATCATGAGTTGCTTGTGCCCACCTGCCATTAGCAAACCCGCAGCAGCTGCCTTCTAAAGCTGCACTGATGCTGGCAACAGGTAACCACGAAGGAAAAACTGCAGAACACAAACACATCTATTGAGTTTATTTATTTCTTCAGAGCCCTTTCTTTAAGCTCCACAAAGAGTGGTTTTCCTTGTATTTTTAACCTCGACTTTGGCCAATTTTTAATTAATTTCATTTTGTGCCGGGTTTAAAAAAAGAATAAACTTTACCTGACCAACGCAAGCTGTTAAAACAATTACACAGTCAATACTTTTTTCAATAGCTAAGAGAAGCACTCAATATTTTTCCAACTAAGAAAAGTTTGCTTTATAACCCTAGTATTTTTTTAAGTGTGATTAAACGGGCTAAAAATAATCCACTTAAAGGGTGCACATTTATGTAAAAACCCGTATTGTCCAAGTCTAGTTGTATAGCTCCAAGCAGACCATTCTGCATTGTTACCTTACTAGTGTAGAGTTACAGATACCACCTGATATCAAGAAAAAACAATTTTTTTGCTGAAATAAAAACGTTGCAGCAAAATTTTCAGCTTAGAATTCTAGCATTATTCCTTCAAATGAACACATAATAATTAGGGACTTAATGGGAAAAACTCCACAAACATATAGTAGGTCTAGATAAAATTCAGCTAGTTCCATGACACTATAAATGAAATACCCGTCATTAAAAGCAAGTCTGAGGTCAAAACCCACCTTTTTCTATGTATTTCTTAAGCACACAAGGAAGGTAAGTAAACCCTTTTTTTCTTGAAAAACTGAACACGGTAGACTACAAAACCTTAATTGTTATTTACAAGCTGAACAAAGAAAAGAAAATTAAGAGACTGCCAAAAACGCAGAGATGAGCAAGATAAAACTCTCTTTTCTAAAGAGATACATATTTAAGTACTTACAGAAGGAAATCCAGTGCTCTCCTAAAACGCAAAACCCCACAATTCCAAACCACTGACCTACTATCTCCCATCTGAAGTATATCCAAGCATGAGCTACAAAGACATACTTGTGCTGCCAAGATAAATCACGGCTTTTACTTACTGCTCACTGTTAATGTCACCAGGGTCCTATATTCCAGTTTCATTACACCGGTGCTGTCAGTACTTCACGAGTGTATATTATCTAAATTCCAATCATGCCTGTAAATCCTACTTAAGCACGATGCACTGCACAAAACTCTAAAGACACCCTTAAATGCCTTTAAATCGGGCTTCTGCACACCTGATGCAATGCTGTTGCACCTTCATTTTGCATAGCCAGCCAGGACTTATTCAGGTGGCTTCAGGAGCTTCATTGCCTCAACTAACCCCATACCCCACCTACACCGTCCGATTGCAATGCCTCAGCGTGCCTTTGACTCCACAGCTCACTCAGGCTGTCTCCGTGCTGAGCAGATCTTTGCTCCTTTAGAAATTAATAGCCCTGTACTAGAAACTACTGATAAAGGAATTTAATTCAACTTCAAAACAAACAAAGTATAAAGCTAGCTCCCAGCCAGAAGATCCTGAACAGACTTCAAGCTGCAATGTTTAGCTTCCTGTAGTTTATTCGCTTCCTGAGCACAAGTGTCTGCGCTTCACAGTCCTTAAAAGCAAATAAACGAAGGACGTTATATCCTGCTCGGTACTATTACTTTTTTCACTTCAGCTTTCCCACGACCAGCGTCAGCTCCAGTTACAGCAGCACCAGTAGGAAATCTGACAGAGAAAATGAAGCATCCCACCACAGACACCGCCGTGCTTCCCTCCGGCAGATTCCCCCCCGGGAGAAGCCCCTTCTGTACTGCCCTCAGCACAAGCGAAAAGCCCGAGGAGAAGCGGAAGCTTAAGACCCAACGCCACTCGGACAGAGGCGCGCTGCCTGCCTCCTCGCTACCAAAGTCTCTGTACTAACACCACAATACCATACAGGATTAGCCGATGTTCTGAAGTGCTGTTACAGACAAAGCTATACAATAGCTGCTTCCAGTCAGGGACGACGGCTCCAAACGCTTCACTGGCCCAAGCAGTCCCGAGGAGCAGCGCTACGACCGCCCGGCCCCGCCGCGGCCCCTACCCGAGCCGAGCCGGGACCCCGCCCCACACCACCCCCCGGGGAACGCCACCGGCCCCGTCCGCCCCACAGCGAGCGCGCCCCCCTCTCCTCCTTCCTCCTCAGAGGCGGGCAAGGGGCGCACACAAAGGAGCCCGACCCGTTGCGACCGTTACCGGGCGAGGGGGAGACGGCACGTTCTCCTCCCCACAGCCCCGCCGCCGTGAGCGCCATGGCGGCGCGCGCGCACCCGCACCTCGGACGAGGCGCTCCCCGTCCCAACGCGCTCGCCACCTCCCTCCGCTGCGTTCAAGCGACCCCAGCCCGCCCCAACACACACACACAACCCCCCCCGCCCGGGAGCCGCCGCCAAACAAAGCGCCTCGGCTTCCTCCGCCCCGCGCCTCCCCCGGGGAAGCCGCCTGAGTAGACAAGGGAAGGCGGCGAATCCCAGACACAATGAGAGGCGAGTAGGGACTCACCCACAGCTCCGTGCCCCAGCTCATGGCTGCTTCGTGGCCAGCGCCGGCAGAGGCGACAGCGGGAATGAGGCGTCGGGCGTCGGCCGGAGAACGGGGGTCCCGCCAGGTAGCCCCGGTGTCCTCGGTCACTGGGGAGAGGCGGCGGCGACAAACAGCACCGCTCCCAGCTCCAGCTCCGCCTCGCGCGGGCAGGGGGGCAGCCGCGGAGGAGGCTGGGAGAGGGGCGGGCCCGGCTGAGGGGAGGGGGAGAGGGCGCGGCGCTACGCGCAGCCCCCACGGAGGGGGCGGGGGGAAGCGCGTCCGTGAGCAGCCGTGTGGTTACCCGTTAACGAGGGGGGAAGGCGGTCACGGGTCTTCCTATCCCGGCCGGCTGCAAGGCCTCCCGCCGGGAAACGCTGATTCACAGCAGGGAGAGAGGCGGGAGGCCCGCACCCTGCACACCTGGCACGGTGGCGGGAGGAGAAACAAACACGGAAGCGTTTGTGTTTTAACGCTACAGGTGTGTTCGTAAATTACAGCCGAGGATTTGGGAGGGGATACCCCAGGAAAAATACCCTATTTTTCATACAGTGGTTGTCTGAATCGTATCGTTTAACTGCAACCGGGAGTTTCCTCACCAGCTAGAAAGGGAGAGGTGTTAAATCCTCGTAAAATAAGACTTTTTCCACCAAAGTATCTTGTTATGAAACAAAGCCACCCAAATTTACTCTCTCACAACATCAGTTCCTTGATTTTCCCCTCATTCCTACCTAAAATGCCTTTTTATAGGCTACAATAAAACCTCAGTGAAAACACTGATTGAAGTCTTCATGAAACAAAAAATATTTAAATCCACTAATTTTTTCATTTCCAAGTCACCTTTCAGGTAATGTTCCTTTGCATCACGTTTAATTTAGTCCTATTTTCCATCTGAAAGGGAAATGCAACTTCTTCTACACAGATAACTGAATTACTGAATTAAAATATATCAAAATAAGCAGATGAGATCACAGATCAGCCATGTACTTTCTGGACAGAAATGTCTAAACTAGTCATGTTACATGAGAAATGCACTTGGGTTCTGTGGGCATCCACAAAATCAATGTGTGCCACATGCTGTTGTAGCCACATGTATGTTTTAGCAAGCCAGTGGTCATAAACCCCTAAATTTTAGAGTCTGAAGATGAAGTTCCAGACTTGGGCACACTTTATTGACCTCCAATACATCAACTCATATGCAGACTGCATGCACGACAGAGAGCTCAACATGAGCCGGCTTCAGTGTGCGCTTGCAGCCCAGAAAGCCAACCAGATCCTTGGGTGCATTAAAAGGAGTGTGACCAGCAGGTCGAAGGAGGTGATCCTGCCCCTCTACTTTGCTCTCGTGAGACCTCACCTGGAGTACTGTGTGCAGTTCTGGTGTCCCCAACATAAAAAGGACATGGATCTGTTGGAACAAGTCCAGAGGAGGGCCACGAGAATGGTCAGGGGACTGAAGCACCTCCCGTATGAAGATCGGCTGAGAAAGTTGGGGCTGTTCAGCCTGGAGAAGAGAAGGCTGTGCATGGCAGCCTTCCAGTATCTGAAGGGGGCCTATAGAGATGCTGGGGATGGACTCTTCATTAGGGACTGTAGTGACAGGACAAAGGGTTAATGGGTTAAAACTTAAACAGGGGAAGTTTAGATTGGATATAAGGAAGAAATTCTTTACTGTTAGGGTGGTGAGGCTTACTTCCAGGTTGCCCAAGAAGTTGTAAATGCTCCATCCCTTGGCGGTGTTCAGCGCTAGGTTGGACAGAGTCTTGGGTGACATCCCTGCCTGTGCCTGGGGGGTAGGAACTGGATGATGTCCTTTCCAACCCAGCCCATTCTGTGATTCTATGATTCTATGATAATATTCACCAAGCAGAACACATGTTGAGGATTCAGGTAATGAAGCAGAAATTAATAAATTATAAAAATGATGAACAAACATGCATTTGAATTCACTCAACTGAACGTGCCTTTCAGGATTAGGAAAAGTAATTTCCATTAACTGCTGTAGACTTCAGTTGATAGAATCATAGAATAGTTAGGGTTAGAAAGGACCTTAAGATCATCAAGTTCCAGCCCCCTGCCATGGGCAGGGACACCTTGCTCTAAACCGTATCACCCAAGGCCTCGTCCAACCTGGTCTTGAACACTGCCAGGGATGGAGCATTCACAACCTCCCTGGGCAACCTATTCCAGTGCCTCACCGCCCTAACAGGAAAGAATTCCCTCCTTATATCCAATCTAAACTTCCCCTGCTTCAGTTTTAACCCATTACCCCTTGTCCTATCACTACAGTCCCTAATGAAGAGTCCACCCCCAGCATCCCTGTATGCCCCCTTCAGATACTGGAAGGCTGTGATGAGGTCTCCGCGCAGCCTTCTCTTCTCCAGGCTGAACAGCCCCAACTTTCTCAGCCTGTCTTCATACGGGAGGTGCTCCAGTCCCTGGATCATCCTCGTGGCCCTCCTCTGGACTTGTTCCAACAATTCCATGTCCTTTTTATGTTGAGGACACCACAACTGCACACAATACTCCAGCTGAGGTCTCACGAGAGCAGAGTAAAGGGGCAGGATTACCTCCTTCCACCTCCTGATCACACTCCTTTTGATGCAGCCCAGGATACGGTTGGCTTTCTGGGCTGCGACTGCACACTGAAGCTGGCTCATGTTCATTTTCTCATCGACCAGCACCCCCAAGTCCTTCTCCGCAGGGCTGCTCTGAATCTCTTCTCTGCCCAGCCTGTAGCTGTGCCTGGGATTGCTCCGACCCAGGTGTAGGACCTTGCACTTGGCATGGTTAAACTTCATGAGGTTGGCATCAGCCCACCTCACAAGCGTGTCAAGGTCCCTCTGGATGGCATTCCTTCCCTCCAGCGTATCAACCGAACCACACAGCTTGGTGTCATCGGCAAACTTGCTGAGGGCGCACTCAATCCCACTGTCCATGTCAGCGACAAAGATGTTAAACAAGACCGGTCCCAACACCGATCCCTGAGGGACACCACTCGTTACTGGTCTCCAGCTGGACATTGAGCCATTGACCACAACTCTTTGTGTGCGGCCATCCAGCCAGTTCTTTATCCACCGAGTGGTCCATTCATCAAATTGATGTCTCTCCAATTTAGAGACAAGGATGTCGTGTGGGACAGTGTCGAACGCTTTACACAAATCCAGGTAGATGACATCAACTGCTCTACCGCTGTCCATCAGTTCTGTAGCCCCATCATAGAAGGCCACCAAATTGGTCAGGCAGGATTTCCCCTTAGTGAAGCCATGCTGGCTGTCACCAAGCACCTTGTTGTTTTTCATGTGCCTTAGCATGCCTTCCAGGAGAATCTGCTCCAAGATTTTGCCAGGCACAGAGGTGAGACTGACTGGTCTGTAATTCCCCGGGTCATCCATTTTCCCTTCTTGAAAATGGGGGTTATATTTCCCTTTTTCCAGTCATCAGGAACTTCACCTGACTGCCATGATTTTTCAAATATGATGGCCAGCGGCTTAGCAACTTCATTCGCCAGCTCCTTCAGGACCCGCGGATGGATTTCATCAGGACCCATGGACTTGTGCACGTTCAGGTTTTTAAGATGGTCTCGAACCAGTTCCTCTCCTACAGTGGGCCCAAGGTCTTCATTCTCACAGTCCCTGCCTCTGCCTTCCAAGACTTGGGTGGTGCGGTCAGAGCCTTTGCTAGAGAAGACTGAGGCAAAGAAGTCATTCAGAACCTCAGCCTTCTCCAAATCCTGTGTAGCTAGTTCTCCTGAGAGCTTCCTGAGGGGGCCTACATTCTCCCTAGTCTCTTTTTTATTTGCTGTGTACCTGTAGAATCCCTTCCTGTTATCCTTAACATCCCTAGCCAAGTTTAATTCTAACTGGGCCTTAGCTTTCCTAACCTGGTCCCTAGCTTCCTGGACAACATCCCTGTATTCTTCCCAGGCCGCCTGTCCTTGCTTCCACCTTTTATAAGCCTCTTTCTTCATTTGAATTTTCCTCAGGCCCTCCTGCCGCACTTCCTTGTAGTTGGGATGCAACACTCCTGAGCTTGTAGCAGGTGATCCTTGAAGATCAACCAAGAGTCTTGAGCCCCCCTGCCCTCTAGGGCTATATTCCATGGAAACTTACTAAGCAGGTTCCTGAAGAGGCCAAAGTCTGCTCTCTTGAAGTCTAGGGCAGTGAGCTTGCTGCACGCTCTTCTCACTGTCCTAAGGATCTCAAATTCGACCATCTCATGATCAGTGCATCCAAGGCTGCCCTGGAGTGCCACATTTCCAATGAGCCCTTCCCTGTTGGTGAGCACAAGGTCAAGCATGGCACCTCTCCTTGTTGTTTCCTCTATTACTTGCAGAAGGAAGTTGTCTTCCACACAATCAAGGAACTTCCTGGATTGCTTGTGCCAGGCTGTACCGTCATTCCAACAGATGTCAGGGTGGTTGAAATCACCCATGAGAACAAGGGCCTGCAAGCATGAGGCTTTTCCTATCTGTCTATAGAGTGCTTCATCTGCAGGTTCCTCTTGATCAGGTGGTCTGTAACAGATCCCCACAGTAATGTCTCCCATTGCTGTTTTCCCTTTAACCCTGACCCACAAACTCTCTCTTAACTGCTCACCAGTCCCCAGACAGAGTTCCATACTCTCCAGCCTATCCCTAACATAAAGGGCAACTCCCCCTTCCTGCCTGCCAGGCCTGTCTTTTCTAAAGAGCCTGTAACCTTCCATTCCAACACTCCAGTCATAGGAGCCATCCCACCATGTTTCTGCGATGCCTATTATATCATATCCCTGTAGACGTGCACACATCTCTAATTCCTCTTGTTTGTTCCCCACGCTACAGGCGTTTGTATAGAGGCATCTGAGCCGAGCTCCAAATGAAGCCGGCTCCTTGGCTGGAGCAGCTGGAATATCTCTGCATTGCTCTGAGCATTTATTATAGGTGCTGGCAACTGACTGGGTGTGTTGGGCTGGAATGATGCCCCCTCCCCCAACACATCTAGTTTAAGCCTCCTTGACAAGTCTGGCAAGCCTCCTACCAAAGCTGCTGCTCTTTTGTCAGACCAGCTCCACCAGCCCCCAGTAGACCTGGCCTACAAACTTGGGTCCCATGTTCAAGACACCCAGACCCCTGACTATGACACCACCCTTTTAACCATTTATTAACCTGGCTAATCCTCCTGACTTTTTTTAGGTCCTCTCCTGT